TAAATACATATACACATGCACACACATACACAGAGATATATACACATGTACGCATGTATATGTACACTGACTTTTTGCTGAATAAATATGCTATAAATATCTTATTCCACATACACACATTCCTTGTGAAATAATCACAGACTAATAACTGAGAAATTCCATGTTATGAACAGGAAGTTAGGATTCTTGGGCTTGGATCTAGATAGCTGAGTGGTGGGATCCTACAGAAATTTTTTTTTTTTTTTTTTTTAATTTCAGCATATTATGGGTGTACATATGTTTAGGTTACGTGTGTTGCCCTTGGTTCCCCCCCACCACCGAAGTCCGTGTTTCAAATATGTCCATCCTTCAGGTAGTGCGCATTGCACTCCAAAGTGTAATTTCTCGATAGGGATACACTTGCTTTTAGAGGCCCAGATGCTTCATCTGGTTTGATGCGAATGAGCCCCAATTGCCTGTAGAAGTAACAGACTGAGGAATTGGTGGTCCATGCTCTTCTAATCTGAATGGTCTGTCTTCTTACAAGCTCCTGCCAACAGGCATGTGCAATCCCATCTCCATGCCTGGGTTCAGGTGTTAGCTCCCATTCAGCTCTGCTCATAGTATTCTTACCAATAGCAATGCTATCGTCAGAAAGAGGGTGGCAATTTTGGAAATGCTTTCCCACCCATTATCTCATTTACCCCCACAACACCCTTGAGGAAGGTATAGCTGGTGCTATTATCTTCACTTTGATGAGGAGAAAATTGGCTCAGAGGTAAGTGGCTTATGCCAGTCTCACAGCTGCTAAGTGGTAGAGTTTTGACTAGAAGCTAAGACAGGAATCTTGGAATTCTGGTGTCTTTGCACATTATCCCTTTAGAGTTTGGCTCAAGTCCCACCTTCTCTAGGAAGCCTTCCCTGCTCACAGAATTATCTCTCACCCCTGAAGAGTTCTAATTATTATTTTCTGCACTGCTCATTTGACAATGGTGACAAAAACCTTGAACCAGAGGTATGCGCTTTGTTTCATTGCACTATTTGTAAGCTGCTCCTGAAGCAGAAATAACGTTGAAAATCACCTGATTTCTTTACCAACGGCACATCATGACTTTCCTGCAGCCTGTGACCAGTTAACATTGGCTGGGTCTTGGCTGTCTTTGTGAGCTGCAGCATTCAAAGAGCCAAACTCACCCTGATCCATTCATGTTCCATGGGGTGCAGAAAAACTTCCTGCCGACGAAGCTATTGAACACTGAGTCATTAACCTCAAAGTACATTACGTCGGTCAGCATATATGTAGGAGGCTCTGCTTTGTTGAAGCAGGAATTACATTTTATAGTCTTACATTTGTTTGCATTCTCCAGAGTACCTTCAACACTGCTGGGTCTCACCCCAAAGACTGTCTGTAAGCAATTTACACATCAAATAAGACTTCCGTGGAAATTTACTGAAATATATGGCTAATTTTCTTTTCTCAGAGCACTGGGCAGGGAGGGCTCAAGTCTTGGCTCCTCTTTGTAACAGTAGGCAGGTAAGTTAACTTCTCAAAGCTCTGGTTTCCTTAACTGCAAAACTGAGGCACAAATCCCTATCTAGTGGTGAAAAAATGAAGGCCAAAATGTATTTTGACACACAAGAACTTTATAGAACATAAAGTCTGAGAGAGTCAACTAAGATTAGGTTCTCCGTGGGCTTAAGCAAGTAAAAGTGTAAAAATCAAGGTTTTCAATTGTAAAATCACGGGGTTGGTTTAGACGATTTGCAATGGCTCTTTGAGCCTTTAGCCAAAGAGCCTACGACTCTGCAATTCCAGCTTCAATTATTAAGGAATCCTAATATTTTAATTCTCCATTCCCTATACATAAACCTAAACAAATCATTGAATGCACAAAGGAAAACTTCTATATAGAATAATTCAATCATAATCTATTGTTAAAAGAATAATCTATCCCGATATAAATAACTGCCCTGATTTATGTGTTTTCACATTCTCTTTTGGACATTTCAGGTAGGAAGCCTCACTGTGCCTTTATTGCACTGCCTTGAGCTGCAGGCTCTACCCACAGTGTCTCTCATTCATCAGACTGTTCCTGCAGGGAGAGGGTCGGTGTTTTTAATAACCAAATAGGCATTTAGTCTCCATTTGACAGATTTCCCATGTGGAAGTGAAAAGCTCCCCACAGTAATGTGTACTCCGTGAATTGATGTCTTGCTGGCGACAAGACGTCTCCTTCTGAGTAGCTTCTATAAATGAATACTCATGTAATGTCAGCTTGAAATGTGTTTGCTGTAGAGGTGGGAGCTTGGAGGGCAGGAAGTTAAACAAGGAATGAAAATAAAATCTTGGACTTGGGTGGGTTGGAGAGAGTGAGGGAGCCCAGGAGCCCGATGAGAAGTACAAGGATGGCTATGTGAAGAGCTGACACGGGAATCTCATCTACATCAAATGTGCATTCATTGTGATGGGCATGTTCGCATGTCTGACTTCATGTTATCTTCACAGTTTATCCTGCACATTGGGTCCAGAGAAATTAAATTACTTCCTTGAAGTCACATAACTGCTAAGAAGAATAAGGATTTTCATACATCTTTCAGTACTAGAATTGGTACTCTTTTATAGCTATTTACAGTCAAATGTAGCACTTTTTTGAGGAGATTTCAACAGGAAATAGAAATATGTAGGCATCAGGCATTCAACTCTTAGAAGACCCGCATGGTTCTGCCTACACTGGGGTATAGAGTCATAAAGAAACACACCCAGAAATATACCTTGCTATGTACTGTAATAGTGATGATGTATAGACTCTAGAGTTTAAGTTTTCACAGAGATCTAATGGCTTAGTGGTGAAGAAAGTTCTTGCTTGAGTTGAGCATAGAAAGAGCTTGAGAAGAAAAGAAGGAAAACGAGGAGGAGTAGAAGGAAAAGAAGAAGTCGAGAAAGAGAAGGAGGAAAAGGAGTCAATCATATCAAGGAGGGGGAAAGCTGAGCTAAGGTTGGAATGTACACAGTGCTGGGATAGCTGCTTCTCAGACTCATCTCCAAATGTGGGTACCTGTTAGCTCTGTAACTTCTATAAGTCACTGAGAAAGTCTCCTGCATGTGGCGGGTCCTAGCCTTCAAAGGCTGTTTTCCAGGTATGTTGCTGGATGAGCCTCACTGCTGAAAAGGAGAGAATGCTCGAGTGTAGAGGAGGCAGGTGTAGCTTGTCCAGGCCTCGGGCCCCGAAGCCCCTGATCTTTAAAGGTGATGACAGCCATGTGTCACAGAAAGCTTCTCCTCAGATTGGCCTCATATTCCAAAGCTCCCTCTTTGCTCCTTTCTCCACAAGACCTATGATTTAGCTACCTCAGACAGAGGCTTCCCTGTGCGTAATGGAATTTGATAATCTCAAAACTAATTTGACCTTCTAAGCCGCCTGATGGAGCTGACCAAGATTTATAGTTCTCACATTTAAAATACAAATCAATTTGTTGGGTATTTTTTTTTCTTTTTGGAGATTTAGAAATCATGAACTCTGTGGTGACTTCAGTTAATTATAGCTGTGAACACCATCAAGCACTTGATATGTGAGAAGTAAAATTAATCACGCCACTCCCTTCCCACGCACACACATTTGCTCACACCATCTAGCACATGGAACAAGACCCGAGGGAGGACTAGTGCCGTGTGTCATCCTGCCATTCCTATCTTAAAAGTAAATTTCCAGGCAGGCTTTTTTATTCTTATAGCATCTAATTACAGAACATCAAAATGCAACAGGGACCCAGAGGTGAGCTGAATTATTGAAAAAATAAAAGCAAAGAGGGTTCAGAAATCTGTTGCATGTATTCATGATAGATTCACCAAACTTGAGGGTGCTGAGAAATGCAAGCATTTAATTCTGAAGACAAATATCTCCTTTTATAGCCCTTGGAAAATTACTTTTTTTCTCTAAACCTTCTACATGTTTTGGTAATTATGTTAGACAGAGGCCAAAAGCATAGAAGAGAGAGCAGACTCTCTAGAGAAAGGTATATTTATTCAGGTCAAAGTTTTAGCATTTTATCTACTGAGACTGTTCCACACTTCTGTATAAAAAGTGGCTTATTGTTTCCTATCAAAGTCGCCTCAGCACTTTAGCAAAAGGGTGCATGACCAGTGAGGAAGGGTGGGAATGTTGGTAGGAATGGAAGGGTAGGGAGGGGAAAAGATT